GTTCGCCAGGCAGGGGCCTCAGAGACCCAGCTGGGCTCCTCAGTGGGGCTGAAGTTTGTCACCCCCGCCCAGAGCCTACGATACTGCAGCTTCCCCCACCGCCTGGCAGGCCGGCCGGGCCCTCTTCCCAGCGGGGGGACACGGCCCGGGGAACCCGCCGTGTCAGGCGGCTGAGCTGGAGGGATGGGGGGAGCTGGCCCAGGCAGACCCTGGAATAGCCCCTAGCCCACGGGACTCCCCTGCCCCCAGCCCTGTGCAGGGCTGGCTGCCGGCAGCAGGGTGGGGTGGGCTCCCAGCCCCACGCAGGGCCTGGCCAGGTTGAAGCAGCCCTCCACCCACAGCAGGATGAGGGTCTGGAACAGCCTCACTGCAGGGAGCAAACACCGGAGCCGGCTGTAAGTGGGTGTTGTGGGGCTCGCTAGCCTGAGACTGGACCTGGTGACCTGAGAGGTCCTAACTCCTGTGACGTCTGGGGGTGGGAGCTTGGCTCAGCCTGTACCTGTCACTGGGAACACCACATGGCTCTTTGAAAGAGACCTCGGGCCTCTCTCGCTCACGGCGCAGTCACAGAGCACCTCACCAGCCTCCCTGTCTTTGTTCTCACAGTCGCTATTGTCCCCAATTCGCAGATGGGAAAACTGAGGCACGGGGAGACCAAGGCACTTAACCTTAACCACTAGGCAAGCCTTCCTTTCTCCTACAGCTTGCAGCCATTAAGGACCACAGAGGGTTCCAACACGGGGCATTACGTTCTGGGCCTCTGTTTCCCCAGCTGTTTCACTTCCCAGCCAAATTAGCCAGGTAACGTTGCTGTGTGCTGGGAGCCATCCACCCCCTTCCACTCAAAGGCTGGTCCTTTCCGTTGTTGGAGCCTGACTTTTGTCCGTGTCATTCACACGACAGTCACGCCCAGCGGCTGCAGCGGGGATCAGGGCCCCCTGGAGCTAGACAGGGAACGGAGAGACCCTGGATTTCTCCCTCTGGCAGCATTAGCCCCAGTTTCCACCTGGGTGACTAAGGCAGTGGGCAGTGCAAGTGTGGGGCTGGGCTGGCAATCAAAGCCATCTCTGCTGAGAGCTTTCGCCGCAAGGCCTTCCGCTCCTGCATGTCCTGCGAAGTGCACTGCTGTATTAATAAAGGGGATTTTCAGCTATTTACCTGGCCGTGCTCTGGCATTTTCACTCTCGCTGCCTTTATGAACCACAGCTCTTCAGCCATCTGGCTGCATCACAGCATCTCCTCAGCGATCCGGCTAACCTTTTAGCAGAGTAAAGAGTCTGTGTTTGCCGTTGCCATAAAAAACAGACTGTACAAGAGGGAGCCGTGCAATTAGATCCTCCCCCGCATTACTTGAGCTTTTAATATTTAACTAAATAGCAACAAAGCAACAGCTTAGATCTAAAAAAAAGTCAAAAATGCAGCTGCAGGAGCGGGGCCGTAGAAAGAACAGAGACTTTCCCCTGTAGCCAGAAACAGGAACTGGGGTGAAATAAGCCCTCGAAAGATTCTCCTTCCGCCCCCCTGCACTCCCCATATAAAACGTTTTTATATGTAGACACAATACACTGTTTGTTAGGATCCCTTCGTATGGGTGTTGCTGACACCGTGTTACACCAGTAAAACCAGAATGAATTTGTTAGAACGAGCAACAGGAGAACTGTCACTAAAGAAGGAAAGAAATCTTGTTTTAAGTTACATTTAATTTGTGGTCTGGAAAAGGTCAGGAAACATTTCGTTTTTATTTTCACACCCACCCACCCACACCCCCACCCATCAAGGGACTGGGATAAGTGACTGTTTCCACTCCGTGCCCATCAGTTTCTCCATGGGGTGAATGATACTGAACTCCTTAAGTGAAGCCCTTTCAGATCTGGTGCAAAGCACCCTAGAGTAACGAGGGATTATTATTCACCAGCCAAGAGGCCCTTAGGAGACCATTGTCTCCGTGCCAGAAGTGGATGGGGTTCTTGGCGTCACTGAAGTCTATGAGCAAGGGGATCACTGAAAGTTTGGGGCCCGGGGGAATTCCAGTGTTCAGCACCTCTGGAAAACCAGGCCCTCGCTTTCTTTGCTTCCTAGGACCCCGGCGTAGCTCCTGTCTCCTACCAACCAGTCCTGTGCCCCAGGAGAGGGAGGCAGGACATTCCCCACGGTAGGAGGGAGGGAACCCAGACCCTAAAGCATTTTCAGACTTAGCCTTGGCCTATCCAGCGATGCGACTTACCTCAGGCGTTCGCTAGATGGCGCCAGGCTCATACGTTCCTGGACAATTTTTGTTGGGACCGCACCCCCCCACCCCCCATGGGCTCTTCAGCCCCTCAGCCTTGTCACCCTCGCAAACAGAGATGTTCCCCCCCAGAGCTGGCGGAGGGGCTAAGTGGCCCAGAACACGGTGCCGTTGGGAGTTAGGAGCTGCAGCGTCAGCGCTGAAAACAACCCGGCCTGTGAGCCGAGCGGTTTGCTAACAGTTTCCATCAGATGAGGGAAAAGCCTCCACGACACCGTTAGTTGTTTCATCCGTAAGGCGGAACCCCAAAAATCCAGACACCGCCAGGGACAGCTGGGGAACTGATGGGCTGGCTAGTAAGTCTGGACCACCATTACCCGCCCACCCCCAACCTGCTCCTGGGCCCGCCCTCCCATCCAGACCCACCCAGCCCTCCAAC